AAATTTGCCGCGAAACGCCGAACCAAACGCCGGAATGCGGGACGATGCGGTTGTCGCACGTCGCGCCGCGCAGCAGAAGCCGAACCAAACAGACCCTTAACCATAATTACAATGAGAACATACACGAATTGATACCCTCCATCTTACAAAAAGTTTCATCTACTCCAATCCTTTTTTAGAACTCTTTCCATTTGTAAAATCCAAACTCAGTTGTCTCATCTTACTTCATAAAGGCTGCGCTTTTATTAAAAACACTTCTATTAGGTAGTCGAATAACATCAGCAACAGATTTGAAAATCAATGATTCTAATAAATTTCAAATAACGGCATCCACTTGCATAGTTTAAATTAAGTCCATGTCATTCAGCTAGAATCGATTAATCTAAAAGTCCCATTGTAAACCATGCAAAATGACAACAATACATCCATTTCCTTGCTAGGGTGAAGTCAAAAATAATTTCTACTTCACCTGAAGAAGGATAAGTATGGCTGTCCAAAACCAACCTTACGACTCATATTTAATCCGCCAACATTATCATGATTCATGACACGATCTCAAAACCCTAACCGAAAACTAACATATAGAAACATTTCCTTGTCAACGGCAGTAATGTTCATGAATCAAGGGAAAAACAAAACAACCTCCAACGTTACCATCAACAGAGTAGGTATAGTTGACGTAGGCGTGGCAGAGAGATCGGCGGGTGCTGATGTCCCTACACACTCTCGGGTCGCGACAACATCACTCCCTCCATCTCGCTAAGCTGCGAATCGGTGACGTTCATGTCCAAATCTTCAATGTAAAGTGACGTCGACGGAAACTGCGCCGCACCGTCGTCTCCGACGGTCGGCGCCGCCGATAACGTAACAGATAGCGGCGCCTGATGCAGCACCTGGGCCAGCGCCATCAAACCGTTCGCTGACGCTCTCCCCACATATATATACATTGGTACTCCATTCCTACTTATTTTCAGGTCCCGCACTTAAATTATAAATTTTTTTAAAAAAAAATAATAAATTTTAGGTGGGGCCTACCGAAATACATCCGGACCGTAATAATTTTTATTGATATAATATGAAATATTTAGGTGATATAAATTTTAAAATCATGTGATATTATTTTTGGTCTCTTTGCTTTTTTCAATCTCTGGCAGCAAGAATGGATTTTCCGGTTCTTTTTGTCCACGACAATTTCGAGTTATGGTTGTCTTTGCTCAATTCAGATTATGAATGTTACTTGAGTTTGAGGTTATCTTTTCTATTTTGATTTGTGATCTGATAGAGGAGGATGGTGATCCGCATGGAATAATTTTTCTAGCGCCATCAAACCGTTCGCTGACGCTCTCCCCACATATATATACATTGGTACTCCATACCTACTTATTTTCAGGTCCCGCACTTAAATTATAATTTTTATATATATATAAAAAGTGTATTTAATTTTTTTCTAGACGTTTAATAGTTTTTTTTTTATATAATATGAAATATTTAGGTGATATAAATTTTAAAAATAAAGACTGGGCGTTATATATGCAATTCATAAGAACTTGGATTTTTTTAGGATTCCACTAACTTCAGCACTAATATTAATTTATTTGAAATAAAATGTATTTTTTTAATATGGTAATAATAATAAGATATTAAATAAATAGCAAAATTTAGATTTTACATATATTAAGGCATAAAAACATTTGAAATTTAAATAAACCCTCCTGTTATTACTTTTTTGATCTCTAAAATTAAATTATTATAATCTTTTGCTAATTTTCTCTTAAAAAATTATATTTTGCATGAATTAAAAAAAAAATCTAATTTAAGAGATAAAATGAAATAATTATTTATTGTCATATTGAATGATTTGGAAGGTCAGCATAGATAACACCGTACTCTTTTCGATTGGAGGTGTCTGCTGATTTAGAATTAAAAACGTGCATTCTTTAACTAAAATAAGAAAATCAAAATAGTTGAAGGTTGGTGCCAGGCGAGCAATGGCTGACGAATGGTTGTCCATGGCCTGCAACGGTAGTGGATGCATGCGGGTTGGCAGCTATCAATAACTTATGGGCGACAAACCAAACGAATCCTTTAAAGGACTATTAGTTGAATGAGGTATCTCATTAGAAAAAGCTCTTTAAGGGTACTCATCCTAAATTCAAAACTCACCCAAAATTCTCTTTAACTACTTCAACTATAGGTATAGGTCCAACTCTTTAGCTACACATTTAGATGTATCAAGTTCAAGCTATACATATTTCCTACAATTGTACTATATAAATATTCTATTGGTCAACATTGCTCCTCATTTTCAATTATATATAGTCCGATACAATCATGCAAATGTGAAAAAGATATTAGTGGATACTCAAAAGCCTTATTTTTAAAATGCTTCTCAATAATTCAATTTGACTCATTGTTCTTTAGCATTTTCCGAATTTATTGCAAACCAAATGCTTATATAAATTCATCGAGAGCTAGTATCTCTTTTTTTCACCTCAGCTATTTGATGTGATTCACTTATCTAATAAAATATTGACATCTTTCTCGCATTCAATTATGCTTCAATACTAATATTAAATTGGGAAGAATCTATATATATAATCTAAAACCGTCCTTTGTACTGTGTCGAAGGGATGGAGCTAGATTTTGGGAGAAGGAGAAAAAGAGAGATAGTTGTCTCTTTAGGGGTAAAGAGGGGTGGTCTCAGAGCTCGGCGGCCCCTTATATTATATACAAATGAGGTTTCAATATGAGGGTAACGGGAAAACAAACTTCTTACATGAGAAGGGGAAGAGAGCCTCAATGGAGGTGTCATCTAATTATAGAGAGAGAAAGGAGGGGGAAATTACATGTACGCCCCTATTTAAAAGGGGGCAGCGAGGGGTAATTTAATCTAGATATGTCTCCGCTAGCGTTGAGTGATCGGCCCATGTTGTCCTTTTGTTGGTCGGTCGGGTAGTGGGGTTTGCCCAAATTGGTTGTTCAGTTGGAGGTAGTTGGCCCAAGATGGTCGACCGGGTGAAGGTGGCTGACTGGACTATTGCACATCTCCTGGTCCGTCTCCAATATTTATTATTACTCTCTCTCTCTCTCTCTCTCTCTCTCCAACCCCCAGTTTTTCACTTATTGGAGGTGAAGCTACAATAAGAATGAAAAACTCATTGATGTAACAAACATTACTCCATAAGCCTCTGGTTGGGATTGTTTTTAAATTTTCTTTTGAAATGCTCTCTCGGAGAAGAGACCTAAGGAGAAACAAATATCTTTACTCATGAAGAGAGAGAGAGAGAGAGAGAGAGAGAGAGAGAGAGAGAGAGAGATATATATATTTTCTTTCTTCCTCCATTTTCATATTTTTGTTTTTTTCTTTATGAAAAATAAATAAGGTAGAGTGCGATTATCTTTTCATGTTTACCGTTAATCAATTGTATCTTAATTCGAGAGGAGTTTTTTTCTCTCTTTGTTTTTCTATAGTTTTTTTGTCTTTTACTTCCTTTAATTTTTTGCCTTCTTTCTTGTACATATTTTTAATTTGTGTTATCATATCATCTTTCTGTCTTGTCACTTTAGGTCATCATTTTCTTATTCTCATTATTCTTTTTCCCCCTTTCTTCTTGTTTCTTCTTAATTTTTTTTTGTTTTTTATTTGTTTTGATTTATTATTTCTCTCTCTTCTTCTTTTTCCAACTTTTTGTCTTATACTCTTATAGGCGGCACACTTCATGCTCACCGTATATTTAAGAATGTTGAATCTAAAACTGTTCTTCTATCTTGCCGAAAGGGTAGAGTTGAATTCCGAGTCAAGAAGAAAGAGAAGAAGAGAAAGAGAGAGAGTATCTCGATGGAGGGGGCAAAGAGGGGTGGTCCCAGGCTTGACGACCACTAGCAAACTTAGTATTTATTATAAATAATTCAATATTTATTATTACTCTCTCTCTCTCTCTCTCTCTCTCTCATAA